TGAATTTGATGTGTATTACGCTATTAACGATGGTGAAGTAAAAGATTTATTTAGAATACCAAACTTAGATACAGTACTTTATTTTCAGTATTCAGATGTCATTGATTAATTTAAGAAAGTTTTGTCTGATCGGCTGTCAATGGATGTTGTAGCTGTGAGAGGCTTTTAAGAAAAAGTCTCACTGAAGCTAAAAATTTAGATAGCGATGTTTGGAATAGCCTATTAGATTACATTAGAGAGAATGATCCTACAGCATTAAGTAAAGTTATGTACATTTCTAATCATTGTAAACCTATTATTAGGAAAAACAACATGATGTGTAATCAATGGGTTAAAGTGTGAGCCACTACCCAAAAAATTGGAAAATTTGGATCCTTAAAGTTCCAAGTTCATACAGAGGGCCAAGTGTTTTCGGACAATTGTTAGGCTAGGCACACACACCTTAAAAGTGCCTGCCTATAATTCTTTGAAGGCTCTTAAGGTGCAATGTTCTTTTTACCCTTTCCATTAGAAAAAACAATGGAAACTTTAAATGAGGTTGCCATAGATTCTAATAAATTGCCTAATCCAGAACTTTATATTATTATTAATGGACAGCCTACTAAATCAAGTAATGTCTGGCATAGCCTAGTAAAATAAAAGCAGCATTAAGAAAATTAAAAGAAATAAATTGGTTGTATAGAAGTGTAAACGATGATTCAATTGACGAATCATGTAATAATGTTATAGAAGTGGTTAGCAATACTACTTGTAAAATATCTGAAAAAGCAAACGATCAAAATTTAAAAGGCTTCTCGGCAAATACCAATAGAAATCTTGACAATAAAATTGCAACAGGTTCGGATATCAGTCAATATAAACTAATGAATGTAAAAGAAGAGCCTATAGACAATAGGCAAGAGCATCTTGATCTGTTAGGCTTTCCTACTTTATTTCCAACTGGACAATATGGAGAGCATCATCCCAGACAAAGCTATCCAGCACAGACTTTATCATTTAGCAAATACATAAAGTCTAGACTTTTAGACAATGATTCCCAATTTCGTAGAAATCATTCATATGGTCTGCACTATACGGATTAAAAATTAACAAAGCCTTAAAAACTGGCATATATAATTTATTAAAAACATCAAGAGGCAACATTTGTCAAACTGTCGCTAAAATATTAGAAAAAATATTTTTTTTAGATGAAGAATTTGAGGACAATTTAAGTACCATGCTGGCTCTAATACGGGGAACAAATCAATATTGGCTCTGTGTGAAAGGTGAAGTCAAAGCCATGATTGCTGAGAATGGCTCACCAACACTTTTCCTAACATAAAGTTGTGCAGAATACAATTCAGCTGATATAGCACAATATTAACGAAAAGTAAAAAATGCTCCACAATCATATAGTATTTCTAAATTAAGTACTGAGGAGTGAGGACCCTGTTTCAGTATTGCGACAATTTTCATACAAATTTAATGATTTCTTTAACATAGTCATTCTCAAGAGAGGTGTTCTAGGCAAAGTTGAGCAATATTATGTTAAAAAAGAATATCAAATGCGTCGAGCACCTCCTTATCATATCCTCCTATGGATTGAAAATGTGCCTGTTGTTGGTATTGATCCTCCTGAAGAAGTCTCCTCTTTCATACAAGATAGGATAACATGTCATATACCAGATAGTAATACATCACCCGATTTAAATTTTTTGGTAACGAAATACAAATGCACAAGTGCACCTATATATCTAGGTGCCGATTTCATTTTCCTAGACCAGTATGAGATAGTGTTTGCATTAATGATAATGAAAATATCTTGAAATCATGCAATAACAGATACTATCTCAAACAAAATGAAAAAGAATTTCGAGTCAACGACTACAACCCTTTACTGTTGAAATTGTGGTGTGCAAATATGGACTTGCAATGCATAACTGAGAAGAGTCGTATCTTAACAGAGTATGTACCGGAT